CTTCTTCTTCTCCTTCTTCTTCTTCCTCTTCTGCTTCTTCTCCTTCTTCTCCTTGTTCTCCTTCTCCTTCTTCTCCTCCTCCTGGTCCTTCTCCTTCTTCTTCTTCTCCTTGTTCTCCTTCTTCTTCTCCTTCTTCTTCTCCTCCTCCCTGTCCTGCTGCTCCTTCTCTTTCTTCTCCTTCTTCTTCTCCTCCTTCTCTTTTACTCGTTCTTCTCTTCCTTCTCTTTCTTCTGTTTCTTCTCTTTCTTCTCCTTCTTTTTCTCTTTCTCTTTCTCCTTCTGCTTCTTCCTCTTCTTCTTCTACTTCTCCTTCTCTCGCTCCAACCCTGGTTGCTATCAGTAGCTGCGGTGCTTGTCCTCCAACTGCAGCAGGGAGCATTTCAATAATTTCAATGACGGACCTCCCAATGAGTGGATTTGACAAAGCCACCGGACCTGTTGGGAGACCTGTCCCGTCGCAGGTGGAAAGGAGGGTCTTCAAGGGTCCGGGCAGGTGATGTCGTTGTGTAGCTCTATCCCTTCGGAGAACGTGTACCGTGCACACTTCTCCGCACTCACGCAGCCAGAGATCCAGCAGCTGGGCGGTCAAATGGTGGAATTGATGGCTCAGAGTTAGAAGGGCTGGAGAATGTACAAGAATTAAATGGAATTAAGGGAATCATGTCGGGCAACACACATATCTGAGTGAACCAGTTGTTGGGTTGGGGCTTACCATGGTTTATGACAATACGCTGGCCCATGGGAGCTGACTCCAGGGTCACCGCCACAGTGTCATACCGACCCGGATGGCCAGTCGGCCAGTCCCATGGCCCTTCAGAACAGGGTCAAACTGGAACTAGATGCATAGGTTCTCCTATGGTCCTCGAAGCACTATGATCTTGTGCGTTTGATCCTTTTTCAGATTTTTTCACTGAACGTGGAGGACATGGGTAGATCAATGTACTGTAGATCGCAATATATCCGCCATGAGCCGCCAACAGAACTATATAACCTTTATTTGCTTTGACACCGCCAATGTTTAGATGCTCCTGCTATCTTCTATCTTGGGGAACGAGGCCCTCCACTTCGATGCTTGTTGGCCTGAGCCAGGATGGCCTATCAAAACCTGGGCCGACCTGATCAGCACCTGGCCATGGCTGTGGATGCGCGGCAAGAGCTGGATCTGAGCCTTGCCACTAAGTTGGCTGTCAGTCGCGACGGCTGAAGTAGGAACTTGGCGCCTCGTGAATCTTGAGGCCTGGAGGTCGTTCAGAGGCTTTGGAATTCCAATTCTTTGTTCAGGACTTGACTTGATCCTTCACTGCACGCCACTTTGGTTTACTTTCCCAAAATTCCCTGCAAGCAAGAAAGAAGATTAAGAAAGAAAGGAAAGAAGGAAGGAAGAAAGAAAGAGGCCAGCATGCTGGCTCTACTGCAAAACCCACATCCACCGCACCCCAGTCATTTCTTCACGTGCTTTCTTTGAAGATGCCCTCACGGCAGAAGAGAGGCAGAACATGGACAGAAAGACAGCACCTACTAGCAACCAAGGGCATCGCTACTAGGAGCAAGGACACTACTAGTAGCTCCTGGCATCGCTACAAGCAGCACTCAGGTGACCTTGCACCGTCACTTCAACATGCAGGTCACGAAGGGTCAAACATCATCAAACATCCCCCGTTGAAGAAGAGGTCCTGATCAGGACCTGAGGCCACAATGGCATGCCGAGGCTTAAAAGAATTGGATCATGGATCTGTGGATGTGATCGTGGCATCAAGCTCGGCATAGTTTTGTGGGCCGCCGCTGCCGCTACCTGTTCTTTATTTTTTTTAAATCTCGCACGGTGCTAGGGGACTGTCACCCCCAAGTCCTACAGGATGAGAAGTGGCCTTCCAACAATGCCAAAACGATAATTGATCCAAGGAAGATTGGATGTGCTTTCACCCGGCTTATGACCCGGACTTTCTTGACGCCTGGCGTGCATTTCAGTCACACACCACGAAAAGTGACACGAAATTGGTGACGGACATCGTGCCATTGAGCTAGCTTCACCTGCCTAGCTATCGGGTCTCCTAGAAGTTTGAGTCCGCACAGGTGATTGTGTGCTTTTGTTCTTCAACTCCCTGTGGTCCGGCCCTCCCCTCTTTCAATTCCGTCCTGATATTGTTGGATTGGTATCCGGTTTCTTGACCTCATCGTCATCTACTTGTCTACTTCATGCAACTTGTTACCCATGCTCTTCTTCATGCGTTTTCCCGATGATTGACAAACATGTTGCTCCTTACGCTCTTCCTCAGCCTCATGCATATTCGCTCGTCGATCCTTAGGCTGATCATCAAGCTGCTGGTTTACCGGTTTACCGGTTCTCTTTTACTGGGCAGGTCCGCTGCTCGTCAGCTGGTGCTGCTGGTTTGCTGGTCTGCTGATCGGGCGGAGTGCAACTGTCACGGTATGTCCCGGTATGTTCCATAATTGGCACCCAAACATGACTCCACATGAGTGATATTTCCACAAACAATTTCACTCTGAGTTGTTGCCCACAAACGCCCCCTTGCCTACCTTTCGTGCACTCCTCTCACCTTAAGTTTTCACGTGTCCAGCTGCTCATAGTTTCTCCAGGGCAAATTTCCTGCCGTGTTTCTTTGCCCGCCCATGCCGCCACTTTCAAACTACCTCTGGCGGCATGACGTGTGCACCTGAAGGGCTGTGCACTCTTACGCACTCCCCTCATTCTGATTCTCAGCAAGCAGAATGTCTTGAAACATGCGCAGCGCTACAACACTGGGTCGTCGGGCATAAGCCACCGCACCGACTGTTTAGCAGCACCCAGTCTCTTACACACCCAGTCTCTTACAGCATGCTGCCCCAGCTGTCACATCCCTGCATGCCACAGCAGCTGTCATGCATCCTCATGCCACAGCTCATGGCATGCTCTGCTACATCTGTTAAAGCAACGTTCAGCATTGGGCTCACAACCTGTGTTTCTCCCGCTGAGTATAGCCACTTTCGGACTACCTTTGGCGTGACTCGGCATGACGCGTGCACCTTAAGTGCTGTGCACTCTTGTGCACCTGTGATTTGCTGTTGCCAGTGGACTGCCCAAAAACAAGCCAAGAGCAAGGCTACAATGTTTGTACCTCAAGGTGGCTTGCAGATGCCTGTTTGTCGCATGAACTATATATATATAACTAGCAACTAGCATTTTGGCCTGTCTGGATGCAACCCCAAGACAACAAAGACACACGCACTGAATCAAACAGACAGATACATAGAGAGAGAGAGAGAGAGAGTGATGCCAACACAGGTCAGTTTGATCACGCTTGTCATATTCCTTGCCGCCCCATACGATCTCATACCACATTCCTGGTGTACACTCTGTAGGTAGGCCGGGCCTTGTCCCCGGACCTGCGTTTGCCGAAATTTTATGAAACACACCGGGCGTAATGAACAGCTGCGAAACATCACCATCAGGTCCGGTCCTTTTCTGTCAGGAACTCTGCGAAGGAGAAGTTCCGGGTTTGGGACCAAACCTGCCTGAGCTACGGCCCGTGCCAAACACCAACCCTCTGGTTTTTTGGAAGCATTTATTCTGTGTTGACTTGGCTTTTGCACTGGAAGCTCGAACCCCTGGAGGATCCTAGAGCATTTTGGGGTGATCTGTGCAAAGTCTTGGAGATCTTTGGGGTATATATTATGCTTCTTTGTGGCATGCGGCTTTAGTGGTTCTAGGAGGAAGTTGTTCAAGGGCCCTGATCTGGCAAGTTGATCAACGTTATGTCGACCTAGTAGAACCATGTCGAACCACAGTTCCAGTTGCTGTGAGGATATGTTTGCCGTTTGTTCCTGTTTTCAACAAACACACCCATGGACTTACTACTGCACAAGAAGTGCTACTCTGAGAGCTCATTGCCCTGCACCCCCGCAGTAGGTTCAGAGTAGCTGGAACCTGCCATACGCCATGATAGATCGTTACCATTCGTTACTCATATTCATCCATTATTGCATTTTGGGTTCCCTGAGGAGAAGTGTATACAAGTAGTGCAGGTTCGGCCATCTAAGTAGTCTAGGAGCTGTTGTGGCAGAAAGCTGTTCCGAGTGCCAAGCGCGGTGGTTGTTATCGTGTTTGTATGTTTGGATGGAAAGACATGGTCAACAGTTTTTGTTTTGTTATATAGATGCGCTTCTATTCTAGTCTGGGAAAGTGGATGGCCTTCCAGGGGAATCCCAGACCTCAAGAGTCTTCTGCGTTAGCATGCTTGACCAATCAAAAGATCAATGTAAGCTACACTCACAGTCTTCGTTTGGTTCGTTCATGTGATTGTGTTCGTTTTGGATTCGATTTTTGATCGACAACATGGACTAGTGGGTCGGGCTTGGGCCTGGGACTGCGCAGGTTCTGCGTGGAACGGCACAAGGTGGGGCGGGAACCTGGAAACACTCAGCACTGGCAACAAGGATCAGTTGACGGTGTCTTTCCGTGGAAGCAGAGATCATCGGTGATAAACCTTGAGCAGCGGTGGGTGGTTCAGTTTGAGACATCCTTGCAGCAGGCAAAAGGTCACTTTGGGCAAAGTCTTTGCTCGCTGAACCGTGACTCTCAAACCAAGACCTCTTGAGTTTCTGGCTCGGTGATGAGCAGTCCTGGCTGGTATGCTTTGTTCGACGAGTTGTTTCACCCCGAGGTGCAGAACACCCAGTTAAAGCTATTTGCGACCCAAATGTTGATGATACTTGATGATTTTGGGCCTGTCGGAGCTATTGATGCAAGGAGATCGAGAACTTCCAACGTCAGGACATTTTCACGCCCATCGTGACTGCTCCTTGGGCTGCACGTGAACCACGAAGTTTTTAGCGGTCTGGGTGGTGGCGGTCTGCGTGTCGCGTTCCGCATAGCCGTCCGCCGGTCCTAGAAAGGACACTGATCGCAGTTTTTGAAAAGTTTTTTACAAGCAAGGATAGGCCCAGCATTCGCAAGATGGTTGAGGTATAAAATGAACTAATTAACACGATTGTCTACGGGATTCGGTTCAATGCCACTTGAGCCAGTTTTTCTAGTCGTTTCTAGTTGAAGCAATTGAAGCCCCTCAGGTCCGATCAGCACTTGGGACTGCATTTGGTATATGTTTTTTACATATAAAATCCATTGAGGTGACAGCATTTGGGACGCATGTGGTGGATTAGATGTTGTATTGCAAGCCCTGATGAAGATGGCCAAGCCGGTGGGTTCTTGAGGGAGCATTGGTTCGGCATTGGCTGGGTTGTGTACAGTAGTCCAATTTCCAGGAAATGGATCGGGATATCAGTGATATCAGAGCCAAAGCAGCTGTGCTGTTGGTTGACAGGTGAGCATCGAAGATTATCCAGTGGAGCTACAGTGGATTGAGGCGGCGGGCCGTAGAAGGATGCCTCAAAACGACATGTGCAGGCTTTGAATCAGGTTGCATGAGTCTGAGGTTAGGCAAAAAAGGTGAACTTATACATTATGTAAACTTATCGATTGTCCTACTTCATGGATTTTCAGGATTTTCCTTTTCTCATTGAGCTGACAGAAACTCCGCAACTCGTTAGTCCGTTAGTGGTCAAGTGAAGGGCCTCCAGCATATTTCAACAGCAATGCACGTTGAGCCGCATTTGTGTGTTGCTTTCTGTACTGTTTGTATGATTTTGTATGAAGTTCAGATGAGTTCAGTTGTGTACTTTGGGGGGTTGATTTGCTTTGTGGGCCAGGGTTGGGGCTGTCATCCCTAATGGTCCATCATGCACACTTCACTGCACAAAATGTGTTTTGGAAGATCTTGCACCACGGTGCGAATCTGCTGGTGCCGCGCAATCAATTGGATTTATCCGTTTAGCAGCGGTAGTCTTAGGCTGTGTATTTTTATACTATAACGCAGTGCTAGTCTTAGCCAAGGTTGTTCAAAGATTTCAAGGTTTGCCAAGAGTTCTTCCCCCCATGTAGCCAAATCAAGCTTCCAAATGTTTGGTTGCTAAGAACTGGTCCGGGGAGATTTCAGAAAGGTTCTCTTACCCACTCCGCGACTTCAGTGAAAGCGCCTTCTTCCCGTTTCTCGAGGAGACCACCCTAGACCGTGCGCGTGCCGAAAGATTGGAGAAGCAGATTCAGGCGATCGGGTCAGACAGACAGTCGTTGCTTCCCTTGATGCGACAGACAGACAGCACGAGGGTCCTGAATGTGAAGGAGCTGTTGATTCGTTGATATTCGTTTTGAAGGTCTGAATCAGGGATTCGTTGTTGATTCCTGTTGGGGCTGATAGGGGCCCATCTCATTCCGACGAATTGCAGCGGCTTTCCACGGGTGTAGCGGCGAAACGGGCGCTCGGGCGAGACGGCCCAGCCACCATCACAACAGCGTTGCGAGACGGAGCGCAGTACGGAGCGCCTGCCGGGTCACTGCACTCAAACGCGGATCAATCTATGCCTGCGTTGCAGTCCTGCAAGTCTTAGCGAGGCGGTTGAGATGCTATGAATCCAGAAACTAGTATATTATATATAGAGCAGATGTGATGTGTTACTGACTGTGTATGTATGTGTATGCGTGTGGTAGGCACACACACAGATATATATATATATAGATAAATAGTGCATTACCAGCAGAAATCGAAGAGCTTGCTACTTTGTTGGAAGATTTGCCTGCGTTGTTGCGAGGCTGCTAAGAAGGAGTCTCAGCAGCAGTCAGGCAATCAAATCTGACCTTATTAATTCACCTAAAGGCCTCTCCTTTCAAGCAATATGCATAACAAGAAGATCCTTATTGAAGTTTCTCTGAAGCAATATGCAGCGGGGTCGTAGCTTCGGTCCAAGCGAGGCACGCTTCTTGAAGATTGAGAGCTCCAGGACTCCACCTGTTGAATGCAATAGACCGGGTTAGATTGGGACAGTGGCAGAGGATGCTCAGGGCAAGAGTAACAAGAAGTGGCAGAAACGAGCAGCATGATCAGCAGTAGCAATGGTATATACACAGTAATCTTAGTTGACCGCAGTTGCAGTGGTAGTTGATGCTAAAGAGTAGGTTTGCCGGGGGGATTTTTACATCGTCTGGGGGGGTAGAAGCTTGCGGGCGGAGGAAGTCGGCCAAGCGGCCTGTGGGCCTCAACACTGTGCAGATGCTGAAGACTTGCAGCACACGCTTGGGCATGTCACCGGCAGAGACCATGCGTCCCTTCGGTTCAGATGGGGCTTTGGGGCCAAGTAGAGGCCGAACGCCGGTGCCCAGGAGGCCGACTGTTTTTTTGCGGGAAATTCAAGAGACCATCGAAGGCTGTAAAACTAAAAAGGTTCAGTAACATCGACGAGTTTCGCATCCTGCAAACGGGTTAGGTGGCTAGCAGCCTACTGTACAGGTCAGATCAATTTTCAGGTTCTATGCTAATCTTCCCCAGCGTAGCTGGTAAACGGATACTATTTGCCCCACATGGGGCGGAGAGGCTTTGATCCCATCTCAAGCAACACATGGCTCAGGCATTGCTGAGGGCTTGTACTCCTCCGGGTATATCTCCTACCCAAGGACAGCCACTGAGCAGCAGATGGACGGCGCACAAAACACGCGAGTTCGGGTCGGAGTGTTCCAGTCGAAAGCACATACAGTACAAGCTTAGTCTCACACTGCACCTTCCATGAGCGGCCTACTGCTCTCCTGACGATGTTTGAGTTTATGTAATTTATGATGGTATGCGTCTCTGACATCGTGTGCGTCTTCCTTCAATTGTCCCAGAGATCCCCCCCCTGCCCTTGGATTGCACAGGTTCTCATCGTTTATAAGGAGCTTTTGACGCTTTTGGGGTGTGGCATTCTGTTACCTCGCGGAATCGACTCCCGAAACATTACAGGAACTCGGTCCAAGTTTTGAACGTGTTTCACCCGACGCTTCTTGATCCTAGTTTTGCTCCCAGTTCTGGAAGCCGTCGCGTCTCCGCGCCTTTGCGCCTCTGTGCCCGCCCGTGTCTGAGGAGACGACCAAATATTCACAGACCTTCGACCTGGTCGCGGCACTCAGGGAACAAGCCTACCATCCGACGTGGGGTTTCTCGGCTGGGTGGGTGCTTGCTGGTCATGAACCCGCTGCCACTACATGTCATCAGCACCGTTGCTGTTGCAAGGAAAGACGGTGAGCTACGTCCTGCGGGAGACACAGATTCAACAACCGGTGCCTTGGCTGAGCATCACCAGGGTTTGGAGCATCACAGAGCTCCTTTTTTCAGCGTCAGGTGCTTGATGGCATGCTTCGGCCATCCTCGGATGCATCGAAAGCGCTATGTTTCAGGTGGCAGGCACTGACAAGGGCGATCATCCACCCATCACGCCGATCAAGGCCGCTCCCAAGGCCTGACATGGAGACAGCGATGGAATGGAAAAACAGTGGACAAGAAAGAATGGCATATGCATGCTCATTGGATCTCATTGACTATCTATAACATTGACCCAACACTTTGTGAGAGAAGCACTCATTCCGACTCGGGTGACTTATATAGATGAATGATTGATGATGAATGTAACTCAACCTCGCGAAGTTGAGTGCCCCAGAGGCGTTTCAAAACAGAGTCAAAGGCCGTATGGAATAGACCTATGTGGGTGACATGCTGTTGATCTTGCAAAGCAGCCAAGACACTCTACACCCCATCCTTCCCTGATGCCAAAATTCTTTGTTTCTTTGGATTTGCCTCTTCTCCACTTGAACTCTTTGACTATCTCAGCAGCGAATTTCGACTTGATCACCGCAATGCTGCAATCATCATCCGATTTTGCAGCGGCCCGATGTCGGAGCTGGCTGCCAGGACGAATTTAGCAAGGGGAAGGAATGGAGGCTCTATGAGTTCCTAGGCCTGAGCAATTAATATCCATATATATATATATATCCATATGTCTTTGGCTGTTTAGAGTTTGGGGGTGTTTCTTCATGTGTCTCCTTCGCTGGAGAGATGGGACAATAATGTTTTGTTCCGCTATAGTGGCCTCCTTCTTCAGGAGACAGTTTCACGTTTTCTTGTGTGCGGGCTTTCCGAGATCATACAAGGTATGTGACGCGACACTTCATCGCATCTCTCATGGATGATGCGTCGTATGACGAAATTCGCCCCTATGACCGGACGTGGAGCTCGACCGGACAGGGGAATTCGGACCGGATGCTTTGTGGATCACAGCATTGGGATGGGTAGTTATATATGGATGAAAGTTCACTTGTTCTGGAACGTCAGTGTGGCCTCCCTTCCCCCTGAGACACACCAATATGGATGGACAAGAGGTTTGGAGCGACGGCTGACATGGTGGGACAGACCACTTACCCTGTGCGGAACCAGTTTTGTTTATTAGTCAGGGATAGTCAGGGTCGGTGCATTACTATGCATTACTTGTACCGAAGCTTAAATTTCCATCAGCATTGCCTATGTAGCAACTGGTCTACAGAATGTTCATGGTTGATACGTGTTGTCTAAAGCGAGAAGCTTTCAAGAGTTGTACAGTAGGGCATTGCCTTCATTGGATTTATGGAAGGGAGGCACCGTTCCCCTGTCATGAGATGGCCTGAGCTTTGCTATTGAGCTGCTGAGCTGAGGCTACGTCTTCGATGTGGCTGGAGAGCACTTCACCTTCACCTACCACGAGGTTAAGGAGCGTGGTTTTTTCTACATTATGCCGTGGCGCCCGAGAGACCTGACCCTTGGAGATGGAGGGTTTGAGATGTTTGATGATGTGTGTTCAGTGCTCGGGGGAAGTTCTTGACACAGATGGGAGGGAAATTGGAAGCCATGGGACAGATGCATGCTGCGCGCGTTTTCCGGTGAGGTCCTGAGGTTGAGCATGTGCGTTTGTTCTTGGGCTCAAGTACTGGGATGATTCGATTATACTATATAAAATATATATATATAGATTTTGAGACCTTGATCCTTGCAGTTCATGTTGTGGTTCTTTGTTCCTTCTGGGGCTGGTAGCTGACATTTTGCATTCAAGGGCAATGCAGCTGAAATCGGTGTCCAAAAGGAATGCCAGGCAATGTCACCATCCAAGAGTCAATGCCAGATTTTTGAGCACAATGCCTAGGAAGCTGAATGAGATTGACTGGGACATGCCTGAGATGTCCCAGAGATCAGAGCTTCTCGGTTCTTGGAGGACTGGTGATTAAGGCAGATCATCCTTCCAACAATGAAAGCAAGAGCCGTGAGCCCCCCCTGTCCTACATTCTTGTACCTCATAATCTTGAATCCAAATTAGTATAATATATAACAAAAAGTTTTGGCCAAATTATTCACACACCCTGATTAGTTTGATGGGTCGAAATAACAAAACGTTTGTTTCTCCCAGTGTCTTTTTTAAAGGTTTGTTTTTTTTTCTATTTTTCTGCTATTGCTAACCCTTTAACTTCCTTACTTAACTCTCCTGAGGTTTGCTTGATTCATGGAATTCTAACCTGGAAATCGTTTTCA